TATGGATCCCACTGTCCTCATTCAACTAAATGATATCACGAAATGATATTTACATTTGTTTTTTATATTTTGTTATCAGGTATAATGCAAATAGGTGCTGCGTGTATTTTTGATAATTGTGTTATTAATCAACTAATAGCTCTAATTAAACACACTTTAGACTTTTCAGTTGAGGCGGGATGGAATTATGGAAATAAAGCAGCAATCAAGAGGAGCAGTTTTGTTTCGAGGGGTTGAAGGAATGAGGAGTGGGGCTCAAACCCCCTTACAAACTTTGCCTGCAATCAACTAGAACGACTATGAATCACAATGTACGTCTTCAAGATCAAGTTTAGTAGTGGTCATGTAATTACATGTGTAATAACATTTTTAATAACACTGTATCAAATCACTTACGATTGCCTAAGCAAACTGATGTGAAAGTAGAATCACTTGAACTGCGAATCGAAAGGGGGGAAGGCTCAAACTCCCTTTAAATCGTGAATTATTATTAATTCTGCATTTTTTCCCCCGAAAACAATTGAAGAGTTTCATTCCAAAAGGAGCTAAATACACACTTTGGGTACTACTGAGTAAATCGCCTTTTTTATTTCTCCACTTTCCCTTTCGCCATGTACCTTAATTTGGTTATATATGTTAAAGTTGTCACCCTGGGCCAATAATATATGATAAGAAAAAATCTACCAGTTTTTCTCGAGTTTTACTAAATTTTAGATTTATTTTTTTCGTGGATTTAGCTCGTTTTGGAATGAAACATGATTTTGTACCTGACAAATTTCATATTTTCTCAATAAAGTCACTGAAATTTATTAAAATTAGTAGCAAACGTTTCCTTTTAAATAATGATAATGAAATCACAAATAAAAAACCTTTTGAAAAGAAAGTAAACAACATATCACAGTTTAATTTCGAAAGGAGCTAAATCCGTTTCATTCCAATAGGAGCTAAATCCATGTTTCATTTCAATAGGAGCTAAATCCACAAAATCTAAATATGTTGTAAAAATCAGAAATATCTTGTAGATTTGTTTTCTTATCATTTATTATTGGTCCAGGGCGACACCTTTAACATATATAACAACATGAAAGTACATGGATAAAGGGAAAGTGGAAAAATAAAAAAAAAGGTGATATACTCAGAAGTACCCAAAGTGGATTTAGCTCCTTTTGGCATGAAACCCATTTGGATTTAGCTCCTTTTGGAATAAAACATGATATTTTACCTAATTTTTTCATACTTCCTGCTGAAATTTTCAAATATGATAGAGTGCATTTTGTCCCCATGTGGGAAATCATTATTTTAAGGCAGATAACTCAATTTTGATAAAATATGGATTTAGCTCCTTTTGGAATCAAGCTCTTCAATTGTATTTACGAATGGAGCTACATAACTTTGTATTTTGGTGCATGTATTGTATGATTTATGAAATTATTAACAGTTTAGACATGTATTACTGTTGTTTGTCTGGATATCGTTAATGTCTTTAAAATAAAGGGAACACAATCAATCTCAACTGAAATGGTGCTAGAGGTGATGTTTGATACTCGCCACTCCATAAAAAAGTGATTCCCATCCAAGACCACTAATACACACATAAACACACCACTACTCATGCTTACACAATCTCACAAACCCCATTCACACTAACGAGACCGCCGACAGGCCGACAACAGATCGATCAAACAATTACATTACACCCATTGACATTAAAGTCAGTCGGTTTGGAGTCGGCTTGGCGGTGTGACTGATGTGTTAAAGGGGTGGTTGGCTTGGTGTGATATATAATACAGAAGTTAAACGTTCATTTTATTTATTTTGAAGAAAAAGGATGAATAAGCGTTATTATCCTATACGCCAAGCATCAAGTAATTGAATTATTCAATTCGGTTTATTTTAGATAAAAGACAATATTCACGTTTCACTCATCAGCGCTAGACGGCGTTGTTCGTATTTCTGAGCATGTTGTGGTTTACTGCTACTGTTTAAGCCGAATTGTTTGCGGAATGTTTTCTGATAATTATTTTTCAACCAGTTTTCATCTTTCCAAGCTTAGTAATAGTCTGTCTAACCACATTTCCCCTAAAATGTATTGTATTTTATTCTTAATTTATCTTACTTACTTTTATTCTTACACTATTTTGCAAGTTCCATAGACCAATTAGATACAAGTCAACATCTCACCTGACAGAACCTTGTTTCTTAAACCAACTAAAATTAATACAAGTTAGGAGATCAGAACAATTTGTCTATGATTACTGTATGTTGTTGTTATAAGATACAGCATTATATCTATACATTTACATTTGTTCATCCCTACTTGTCTGTTTCTGTGTATTCACACAGATTGAATGGAAGGTAAATATGGGAATATTAGGACCCGTTATTAAAAAAAAAAGAAGAGATAATCATTTTCTTCTTCTAAACATCGCAAAGATTTGAAAAAAACTGAACTGGAGATAAAAGTTGATGTTAAGCTCAAAGTAGAATGAATTATTTTAATACAATTCTTTTTGTGTCATTTAAATTATAAAGATATACCGTAAATATAAGCACTACATCATTTTTAACTATAGTGTGTTTGGAAGGGTTGCTGGGAGAAAAATGTAAATTAACTATATAGTGCTTGCAGAAAAGTTTTAACATTAATGAAAAATACTTATTAATCAGTTCTGCTCGACGAAATATTAGCACTACATCATTTTTAACTATAGTGTGTTTGGAAGGGTTACTGGGAGAAAAATGTAAATTAACTATATAGTGCTTGCAGAAAATTTTTGACATTAATGAAAAATAGTTGTGAAAGGTACTATGTCCCATTTGCAGGCCCCAAAAATGAAAAAGTTGAATTCCAACTGCATTTGAAAGATAATACTAATTTAGAACTTCCTTAAAAAAGGTGGGGCTTGAAAATGTCTTCAAGTGGGAAAATAACGACTATTAGTTGTCATATCGACTTTAGGGCTATAGAGCCCAAAAGTAATAGTCTTGATTTTCAGACAATTGTACCGAATGGTCATACGTTTTATGCTGCGCAAAGATTCAATCAGTTTAATTCTTGGCCATCACAAGAAGTGGGTTATTGATGTAGACAAATGCTCATGTATCCTTTACAACTCTTTTCATGTATGTTATTACCAAAGAAGGAAAAAAGCCAGTCAATCACTCTATAGTGTCTGACAGTGAAGTCTAGCAAGTAAACGGGTTTCCTTGCATAATTTGAATATGATGACACTGCTGACGTTTAAATTTTACAAATAGGACATACATGACATATTCATAATTCCTGCAAAGTTCTACAGAATTTGAGGTTGGCTGCAAAAGGGACATAGTACCTTTAATCAGTTCTGCTCGAAGAGCGATGCCGGTCAGCTGATTCTGGTCTGCGGGTTGTTGTCAGGTTGCACTTTGATTGCTTGTCAGTGGCGTACGCAGGATTTTTTCAAGGGGGGGGGGGGGGGGGGGGGTAGGGGGGCGGGGGACGGGGTAAGCGGACACTTTTTTTTTTTGTTGAGTCCCCAAAAAATCGCAAGGACTCAGCCAGCCGCTGAAAAAGCGGCGGGGGGGGGGGGGGGGTCGGGGGGCGGGGGCGGGGTAAGCGGACCCTTTTTTTTTTTTGTTGAGTCCCCAAAAAATCGCAACGACTCAGCCAGCCGCTGAATAAGCGGAGGGGGGGGGGGGGGGTAAGAGGACTTTTTTGGGGGGGGGGGGGGAGGGGGGAGGAGCGGTCACGAAATTTGAAAAATTAACATTTTGTTTAGTTGGGAGGGGGGGGGGGGGTATAAGGTCACCTTTTTTTAGGTCTGCTATTGGCATAATTTTGAAATTGTGAAATTTTTGCCCCGATTTTAAAATGTTAAAACTCCCCCCCCCCCCCCTCGAAAAAAATCCTGCGTACGCCACTGTTCATACCAATATAATTGGTATTATGTTATTAAACTGATACACTCCATCACTTTAAATCATTAAAGGGCTGTCTGATTATTTGTAACACTTTAATGTTCTAGTGATTGTGATGAATTGAGTACTCGCCTGTTGTAATTCTGAATAATGGCTCCTTTAGTCATTGTTTGTTTGATTTTGTTCTATTTACACATGATTTTTTTTTGTTCGTTTGGCTTTACTCTAGCCTTGCTCTTTCATTATTACATTATTGATAACTTTATTAATATCTATGTGCAATGCACAGGGGCGGTGGAACATCTTTCAAAGTGGGGTGAGGGCACCAAGAAAAGGGGCACCTAGTGGGAAATAGGCACCTACGTAGGTAATCTCGAGGTGGGAAATATGAATGAGACATTGGTATATAACCCTACATTTTATTCAATACAAAGGAAAAGGATCATCTTCAAGATTATCTCATCACGTAATCCGAGATACTGCTTCAGCATAACGCTTTGCATTTGTGTATGATGGTTTGAAGATTATTTTGCGTTTCAATCTTATTTTATAGATATAAATGGGGTTCGAACAGAATATCATGTACGAATGAATATTAGCTTTGAGGTTATATCATTTATATATATTCCGAGTGAACGTAGCGAGGTAGCTTCAGGAAAATTCGAGAAAAATGTCTTCAGTTGCTTTGAATTAGAAGAACATGTGACGGAGGTTATGATAAATAATTTGTTTGAGGGAGAAGAGCGTGGCAAAACAACTTGGCTTGGCACGATTTGTGATTTTTTACGCGATTTTCATGTCCCGCGAAGTTGCCTTGGTTTGTAAAAGTCTCTCATTGCGTACACCTGTACGTTCTTAAACTAAAGGGAAAACGATTACCTTGACATTCTTTAAAGTTTAAAAAGGGCAAATGAATTAAAAGGTGATATTTTTTGTTTGGAAGATGCCTCATTTAGAAAAAAATGAGTAGATTGATAGTTTAAAGGGGCTATTAAACGTTTGAGCGTGAAAAGAAAATATAAATTAAGTTACCATGATTTATCAATAGAATGGGCACTTATATAAAAAAAAAATCAAGCGGAACTTCCGAGGGTATACACTAAGATGTGGATCGAAGGATTCTCGCAAGAGAGCTCACGAGAGTATATCGACAAGTTCTTTACTTCGACCTCGAATCCTTGTCGTGGACATGGTCTGAAGGTTTACCTTGATGACCAACCACTGATTAATGAACTTGCTAAAACGCCTTTATTTTGTCTCATGGTCTGTCACTTATGGAGCCAAGAGCGTTTGAACACTGAAATTGCAACTCAAACAGAATTATTAGACAGCGTGAATGTTTTTCTGATGCACCATGCCAATGCCCGAGCAAAATCAAAAGACGAAATAACAAAAGAAGAACTAATCAAAATCATTCGTAAGCTGGGTAAGGTTGCTCTAGGTGGTCTAATAGACGACTCTAAAAAACTAGTCTTCACGCCCCATGATTTCCGAAGAGTTCCCGCTATCCTTAATAGGGCACGTGAGCTTGGGATCTTATCAAAGACGACGATTCCAACGACAATGCTCCCACTATCCCACAATACGACATCCACGACCATTGAGTTTTATCATAAACTCGTTCAGGAACACTCCGCTGGGAAATACCTTGCTGCTAAAACGAAGAAATATATGTTACGACTGAAGATTTCTAAGTTAGACAGAGTGCTACGAAACATCAAAGCAAACATCGGTGACTATGAGAATCTCATCCGATTTGCTGCTGGCACAGATAACAGCATTTGCATACGAATAATGGAGGCGCTCCTTTCCAACCGCTTTTTGGATGAGAGCGAGCGATATCGCATTCTCCTTGACTGCTCATCAGAGACCAAGGGTACTCAAGAAAATGTGTCTTCGTTGGTTCAAAGATGTGTGCATGCAGAGAGTATTGTTCTAAAGTCACCGACTGTCTACACCGTCGTTGGGATGCAAAATCTTCCAAAGCAACTTAAACGTCAGGTATGCACATTTTCATTTGACAAAATAATTCATAAATAAAATAATAATAATTTCATAAAGATTGATTAAGTTTCCATCCCTCCGCTATAACTATACATGTAAGTCAAAGGGGTAAGATTGTTTTTAATAGATTATTGATTAATTGACGGCATCTTCATAAATAATAATGCATGATAAAATGATCAAGACGTATGATTCATTATCATAATTATTCTATCTTTGCCCAATTACGGCCTTGGTCAAGGTACTGCATTCCAAAAACGAGAAAAATAATGCAAACAAAATTAATACTACTAGGTCCTGGGCCTATTCATATAGGGAAAATGATGAGACTCCGTCATTAAAAGCAAGTAGCCTATGTAAAACAAAGGAAATCTATATTTAACATGAAAGAAAATACATCTTTAACTTATGAATGTAAAGGAGTAGGGAAGGGAGCTTTCATTACTTTAGCGAATAATATTTTCAGATAGGGTCAGGCTGCAATCTTGTTTGCTTTAATGATTACCACCAAAACAAGACATTAGATAGTTCAGAATCTATGACGTGATCTTTGGACTTCTACCCCCGGCTAAAAGGCATGGTATACTAGTTTGTTGATAACGCCATCTTGGGCGGCTCGAAGTAAGTGCAGATAATATTATAGAGATGAAATATAAGAACAGGCCAGATTATGGACTAGAGATGAAATAGATATTTTCATCAACTGTTCTGACTATTTGTCTCTATCTCTCTTTCTCTTCACCGCCCCCCCGCGTCTCTCCTATTATCTCTCTCTCTCTCTCTCTCTGTCTGAACACCAGGTTAGGACAGTAAAGTTCGAGGGGTCTACTCTAACTACCGACGTGACGAGTGGACTATGGTCCTGCCTCAAAGACTTTTTGATGTTAGATATTCTCGTCATCTCAGACTCGTCTCTCAGTTTCCCTCCATCTCCTCCGGAGCTTCTATCAGTCACACAGCTATCAGCTGAGAGAGTGACGTCACAATGCTACAAAGAAGTGCTCTCATCGATACCTGGAGTGAGAGATATCGATGTCTCTATCGATGTTACAGAGACGAGCAACACTTTTCAGATCACCACCGCATCAAGGCCTATGAATCAGACTAAGGCTATCAACATGAATGAACAGTTCTTCGTTCATATCAGACTACACGCCTTGCCAGCACTCACCGCAGACAGGAAGATTGAACCAGCAATTGGAGGGCTTAGTCTTCTATTTGAAGACCAAACCGAAAACCAACAGTGGCTGCATGTGTCCGGGGGGAGGGGCAGAGACGAAGAAGCCTTGGTGGACCTGTTTGTCAAGACTAAACAACTAACGTACTTGAATGTGGGGTAGGTATAGATCTAAGTTACTAGTAAGTTAGAGGTCTAACAGTTAGGTCTACATTAGATCTAGGTATATTTTCTACTAGTAGATCTACTACTACTAGGCCTAGATCTAGACCTAGGTAGATCTAGATAGGTCTATAGACCTAGATCTTTATTCATGTAGACCTAGGGTCTATGGTGGTGTGACCATAGTTCGCTATCTCAACAAATCGGTAACACTAACATTTCGAAAGTCTGATATCACCAGATCTAGACTAGAGTCTAGGCCCAAATGGAAAAAGAAACCTAAAATTCTAGATTCTACAGAAAGACGATTTTTTTAAAATGGAATTGGAGATTTTTGCATAATTAGTCCAAACGCTGCACTCTTCGGCCCTCCAGAGCCTAACAAAGAAAAAGTGTGGCAGTATTTGACTGTCTTTAGACAGTATTTGCAATACATTTTTGTGTGTAACACTTTTCAAATTTTCCAGGGGGGGGGGGGGGGTCAATCCCTTCCCTTTAAACATCACCGTCCCCGGTAGTAACTGATTGTATGACATTTTTTCTTGCAAAATATTTAATTATCTTACATTTGATCGAATTGATTTTTCGATAAATCAGATGTTAAACCCCCGTGCACGAAGTAAGGTCATTTTCGTGAGTTGCAGGGCACACGCCAATCCGACATCGAATTTTAGATCGCGATGGCCGGAATCCTTTGAGGATGAATTTTGTAGTTGCTCCAATTTGTAGTTAAAAACTTTGTCGTCCACTTGCTAATAATTGAAATTAATAAAGTTGTTTAGAATATGAGAAATCATGGATCGAATATCACATTTTCAAATATTTTCAAAAATCTCCGCGAACTTTGGTCACTGCAGATCTTTGTGTTCATGTCGCTTTTTAATTTTAAGACGGCATGAACACTAAACAATGAATTAAAATGGTATGTTATGGATGTTCTTATTATTATTGATATCATTATCATGATTATTGTTACTATTATTACTTTTATTTGTATATTATGTTACTATATATATTACCATATAATATGATTATCATCATTATTGTTATTGTTAGTATTGTTGCTTTCATTTACCTCTGTAAAGAGGGGATGCATAATTCACTTGCATATTTTATTAATGTATATCATTTCACAAGATTTGCTTTCAAGAATCACATTATTTCCCTCATTCCTTTTCAAATATTCTTTGTAGGAGTGGAGGTGGTACTCTACTAAAAAACAACAACGTCCAGGTGAGTGACTTTTGCTTTACGGGTGCATGCATTTCAGTTTGAAATATTTAACACAGGGATATGCTCTGAATTTTACTATTAAAGGGAATTGCAAAACAGTTGCATTTGTTGTTGTTAAAAGAACTCAATTAATTCTCGGAATATGTATGTATACTTGTAAGTTCAGCTTCACTGAAGTGGGATTCTGTATGTCCACACGTTTATTCTTAATATTTAAATCGATGTATATAAACGTGACAAGTTTGTCTGCTTGCATTTCATTGCAGAATACTCGGCTTGAGATAGAGCAATGCCAGCTATCTATTGAGATGACAGAAAAGTTGTGGTCCTGTTTTAGATCCTTCACCTCGCTGAACCATCTCACCATCTCAGACTCCTCTCTCAGTTTCCCTCCATCTCCTCCTGACCTTCAATCAGTCACAAACCTATCAGCCGAGAGAGTGACGTCACAAAGCTATGAAGGTTTGCTCTCATCGCTTCCTGGCTTGAGAGTGATCGATATCACTATCGATGATGCAGAGAGAGACATATCTCAGATCACGGCTTGTCTTCGTCGGACCGGAAGACAGCAGCTTACACACATCGAGCTTACAGCACCGTCATCACTCCCATCAGCGAAGACGAGTGTATCGAGAGAGACGGTAAGAGGACTGGGTCTTCTGATCAGAGAACAAACCAAGGACCTGCAGCGGCTATGTCTGTCCGGAGTGAAGTGCTTGGACGAAGAAGACTTGGTTGAACTTGTCGAGTCGTCAACTTTGAAAGCATTGGATAGTCTGCATTTACAGTGAGTTCGAGTAGATGTTCATACATTTATCAATGAAATTAAAGTGGACAAAATCAAGCAGGAAGTCTAACTGTAAACTATTTAAGGCGAATAATAGATTAGTTTTTGTGTGCTTTTGTTTCATCAAAGTTTAAAAAACAAACAAATCGGCGCGATTTTCAAATTGTAAAACCCTCCCCTTGAAAAGAATCCTGCATACACCATTGCCCCCAACACAATTCCCATAGTTGTTGTGTTGTTTTTCTTGTCTTCGCTTTCAACTCTCTTTTTCAATTCCTATAGATCTCTTGATGGTACATGTTTCGAATACGATCGAGAATCGGGTTTTCAGGTAAGCAAATATCTTAAACTAATAATATACGACTACACACATTTGGGAAAGAAATGTAATATTTGTGCCTGACGGGAAAACGCAAATATCATTTTTGTTTAAGTTAAACAATTACAAATAGCTCTTACAGATACAAAGGTGTGATCGGGCCACAGCTATTCACGTGATATCGATGGTGAGGATTGTAATTGGCATATTTCTCTTTCGGTCAGTTGTCGATGGTGAACATTATAGTGAAATTAGTGTATTGTTTGCGTCATACCCTATCCAAACAACCCTATACGCGTACCCATTGTCTGCAATGTCATAGCAGCGTCAATTTGCACTAAGGCTGGACGGCCCGAGAAAAAAACCCACAAGGCATGAGATGACGATTACCATTTATTTATGTTACCGAAGTGCAATCTAGGCTACACTCTAAAAAAAAGATTCCAAATATTGGGTAAAATTTTACACTTTACGAGGGTAAAAAGGGAACATGCATGTTTGTTGGGTAAAAATTGACACAGGGGTGGTTGGGTAAAAATTTACCCAGCAAATGTTTAATGTTTTACCCAACTGATGTGCAATATATTTGACCCAACGTAAAAGGTAAAATGTTACCCAATTACAACCATGTTTGGTAATAAAAGGACGTAAGGATAATTTAGATGAAATTGATTTACAAGAAAATAACTCCTGAATAAGAGACACTTTGATCAAGCAAAATCTTTAAGTTCCAACACAGATTTGTTTGTTTTTATTTGATAAATAGATTCACTTTCCAAATATTGTAATGTTCATATCAAAATCACGAAATTAGAAATGAGATAATCCATGCATGCAACTGGTTACAATCTATTAATTAATATTAATAAATAGATTATAATAAATAATCTGAAATAGATTTTCTTAATTCTAGATCTAGGTCTATTTATAAAGCGAAAGACCGCCGCTATTTTACATCAGATAACAAAAATATTAAGGTCTATTTATAAAGCAAAAGACCGCCGCTATTTTACCTTACTGCCAAGTCAAATACAAGGGGGGAAATATAGATCCATTAAAAAGAAACTTCCTGATTTAAAGATACAAACTCTTTTCAACGCAATGGCGAAACACCCAACAAAGAGATGAAATAAAGATGATGGAGATCTAGAATGACGTTGATCAGTGCTGAATAGGTAGACGAGCCAAACTCACGAATCCAGCGTAGACTGTAGCTTGTAGAATGATCAACATTCGGAAGAGCTAGATCTACTCTTGAATATGTAGACTGACGTTGGTGATCGTTGAATAAGAGTTTGAAGCTAGTCGTTAATTTAGTTGATTAAGTGAAGAACCGCGACAGTTTGAACTAGACTAAGCAATTGAGATGAATGATTGAACTTGATGAGAAATAAAAATTTCAGCCTGCAATAAATTGATTGTGGAACAATAAATCCAAGTCGAGTTTCGAGATGATGCTTAAATGATGAAAGTAACTCTGGACTCAGTTCACAAGACTCTCAGTCTAAAATGCTGATGATGCTGAAGACGTTGTCGGAGTTGAAGATTGATGACTGTCTTTAATCGACTGTTCTAAGTCGGGAAAAATTTAGACTTGAGAGTTGCAGTTCATGAGCTGTACTGATTCACTGAATTGAAGTTGAAGTCCAAAAGTTTGTTGAAGATTGATTACTAAAAAATATGGTCGCCAAAAAGTAATCAATGAAAGGTTGACGTATTGTTGAAGTGAAAATTGCTCAGGAAAATAAAATTTCCAAATAAACGTAATAAAACGTAGAGGTCTATAGGAGATCAACTGAAGCACGTAAATAAGTGAAATTAAGTAAAGGACAACTGAGCTCGAAATCAGACAAAAAATTGAACCTTTTTAAGTCCGAGGTTTAAAGGCGACTGACTAGCCAAAGCCAAAACATTAACTTTAGCCCCAAGGGATTGGCCAATATAAAGAGCCAATCAAAGAAGAGAAAACACTGACCAATGGCAGCAAACTTTTACAATTACCAATAAAACCAAGAATGACAAAACACACACTATTTGTGCTACTGGAGTCAACTAGAATACTATCTTAATAAAACTTCCAGATTTAAAATTATTATTGAATTGAAGAATATAGAGCAATATAAAAATGTGATTATCACCCAAGCAATCATTTTGAATATTATTAAACTTTAAGTGACACAAAATGGCAAAAACACATTACTAAATAGGCAAAACACACCTATCAAAAGGGATCGGCACGTATAACACAATAAATTTACAACAGCAACGCGCAAGCATACTGAAGAATTTGCATACCATTGTGACGTCAACAGTACAATAGCGCGTCTAAAAATAAATAAAGAATGCGGACGCATGTCAATGAAAAGGTGACAGAAAGGTGAAGGAACTATAACATATTTACACAGTAGAATGTTGAACCGCTACACATGTTCCTTTTTTGACACAACATTGGGTAATTTTCCTGGGTACTTTGTTCTTGTGTAATTTTTTACCCCAAAGTCGGGTTAAATTTTAACCCAACCTTATTGTATGATTTTTTATTTTTACACAGATTTGGGTATAAAAGAAAATTTGTCCGAGGAGTTGGCTGGAAAAGTACATGCTATATGTAGTGTAGTGTATAAGTAGCAGACCTCTCTCTCTCTAGACAGTCTTTCGCTTGGCGTACTCGCAGTAGGTGACTGCATCGCGGATGACATTCTCCATACGAATAATGTGTTGTCCAGAATTATGAGGAATTTCATGTCCACATTGAGAAGATTTACACGCATTCATGCAAATAAATGCTGCGAAAAGACACAAGTGTATGATCGTAGTCTATTTCGAACAAAGTCGTCCATCCTCTGTCGATCTTGAACACGATTAATTCGATGAACAGCTGATTCGGAACGACCGACCACGCTAGCGCTTCAATCGTAGTTTTTATCATCAGTTGTGTCATAATACCAACGTTTAGGTGTCAAAACTTGTGTTTACCCAACGCGTGGTTCAAATATTAATCTGCATCGTTACTTTCTTACCCCGGAAATGCGCACAGTCGAATTTTGATATGACACTATGGTAAGTGTAAAGAAATTTCGAAGGGACTTGGTGTTTGGCACATGTTTGGGTAATACTTTACCCAACTTTTTTAAACAGCGATTTTGCACAGCGAAATTTTGCACTCTATTTTTAGAGTGTATAGTATACTAATTGGAATAAAAGAATACAAAAAAAACAACAACACACAAGTGAGTTATATTTTCCCGCGTTATCATATTCCCGAGATCGCTGTGCGCCCTACCAGTCATGTATACTGGTATTATCATTATTCATTTCATGTCCACAGTTAAGCTTTAATCCAAAAAAAAAAGGGGGGGGGGGTCTCATTATGTACCCAGTTTCGAATAATAGCATTTACGTGAAAGTAAAAAATCTAGTCTCTCTGTGTTATCCGTCCTGCAGTTAAAGAAATGTCGGCTATCTACTGAGATGACTGCCAGAATGTGGTCCTGTCTCAGATCCTTCACCTCACTGAACCATCTCACCATCTCAGACTCCTCTCTCAGTTTCCCTCCATCTCCTCCTGAGCTTCCATCCGTCACAGAGCTATTAACCGAGAGTGTGACGTCACAAAGCTATGAAGGTCTGCTCTCATCGCTTCCTGGCTTGAAAGAGATCGATATCGCTATCGATGATGCAGAGAGAGACATACCTCAGATCATGGCTGGTCTTCGTCGGACCGGAGGACAACAGCTCACACGCATCAACATTACAGCCCCGTCACTCCCATCAGAGAAGCAGAGTGTATCAAGTGAGACGATGAGAGGACTGGGTCTTGTGATCAGAGAACAAACCAAGAACCTGCAGTGGCTTTGTCTATCCAGAGTAAAGGGCACGGACGAGGGAGACTTGGTTGAACTCGTCGAGTGTTGCAAACATGTGAAGATGATGAATCATCTAATGTGAGTTTATTGTACACATTTTTAGTCAGTGGATAATATTAATAATAATAATAATCATAATGTTGGTAGCCCCCCCAAACATTGATTATTGATAACAATGATGATATAATTTACATTAATAGTTATAATAATGCAATAACCATTGATGATAACCTCATTTCAATGCTAACAGTATCAAACATCTTGAATTTCAGATGGTGTTTTTGCTTTAGTTTACAAAGGGCAGTTGACACTAACTAAAGGCGCTTAATTTGTATTTTTGTTGTGAATTTATTTTTAATATACCTGTTTTATTGGATGTTTACTATTGATTTAATAACTTTTTTTCATGGTTTAAAGAATAGATTTGAAAATTTGACAGATCGTCATTGCGTTTTGTTGGGGGGGGGGGGGGGGTAAGGTCATCTTTTTTAGGTCGTCCATTACGATTTTTTTTTTTTTTGGCTTTAGGCGCGAAAGCTTTGACGTTTCATCAAGTTATTAGAAATGAAGACGATTCGTTGTACCGTTCCCGGCTCTTAATTCTTGCTCGCCCCTCCCACGCGAAGCGGAAGCTTTGATGTTTCATTCAATTATTACTCTTAATCCTTGTCTGAATTCATTTTCGCCCCTCCCGCGTGAAGCGCTGAAGCTTTAACGTTTCATTATATCATTACAGAAAGAAGACTATTCGATGAACCGTTCTCTACTCTTGATCCTTGTCTGAATTCAAGCGCGGAAACATTGATGTTTCATTAAATTATTATTCTTAATCCTTGGTTGAATTAATTTTAGCCCCTATCGCGCGAAGCGCGAAAGCTATGACATTTCATTAAATTATTAGAGAAAGAAGACGATTCGTTGTATACGGTTCTCGACTCTCAGTAACCCTTGTCAGAATTCAGTTTCCCCCCTCCCGCGCGAAGCACAGAAGCTTTGATGTTTCATTCAATTATTACTCTTAATCCTTGTTTGAATTCATTACCGCCCCCTCCTGCGCGAAGCGCGAAAGCTTTGACGTTTCATTAAATTAGTTGAGAAAGAAGACGATTCGTTTTACCGTTCGCGACTCTGAATCCTTGTCTGAATTTAGTATCCTCCCTACCGCGCAAACGGAAGCTTTGACGTTTCATTAAATTATTAGAGAAAGAAGACGATTCGTTTTTACCGTTTCCGACTCTAAATCATTGTCTGAATTTCAAAAAGTTATACTTTGTCTGATAAAAAGTCACAGTTCGTAGGGAAACCAAATTTGGCGGCTGACCGACGTAATACATCTAACTGACTTAAAACTTCTGCATTAATATAGTGCACGATGATCGAGCAAGAATACCGACATAGCTGACCCGACACAGCAACATATCTATGCGTTTCTTTCGCACTCCCTCGACGAGGCGAGTCCACCCAACAACCCCCTCTCTCTCTTACTCCAACCTCTCCTCTCACAGGCTCTTACCCCCCTCTCTCCTCTCTTTCACCCCCATTTCTTTTGTTTCCTTTTTCTTTTCTTTTTCTTCTTTTTTTCCTTTTCTCCTTTTCTTTTTTTTCTGTCTTTTCCTTTCCTTCCTTTCCTCTCCTTTCTTTTTTTCTTTTTCTCTTTCTTTCCTTTCTTTTCCTTTTCTTTTTTTCTTTTCTTTCCCTTTCCCTCTCTTTTTTACCCCTCCTCCTCTTCTCATTTTTCCCGACGGCAGCGCAATTTTACCGACAAAATCCCCACAGGTGGGGGTGGGGGGGGGGGGGGGGGGTGTTGCACCCCCACATCCCTCCTTTAGCAACGCCTCTGCTTGACCTAGTAACAGGGGCACTTATCGCACTTGAAAAGTGGCATTTATTACTAAAGAAAATGGGTATTTCGTCAAAGCAAAAGGATCACCTACACTCATCTACAAATGGGTGCAATTAACATCTTCTTTCCATTCCTCTTTTTATACGCAATTTACACTTCATTTATATGTTGCAGGCTTCTTGGCTGTGGGACAAAGTCATACGGTAGACTAAGACATCACATCACTGGTCTTAACAAGTCAAAGAAGTCACTCAGGGTGATTTTCTTGCATGTAAGTTACCTACTAAGTATATCGATTGCTACATGAATACAAGGGTTCTAGGACAATTACCCCCTGGACCAGGGGCGTAAATCCGTACCGAGGAGTGGGGGGGGGGGGGGGGGGGGTGATCTCGGCGATAGCCATCACATACTAGCACGAGCAGACGCCCAAACTAATTAACGCAAGCGCGCGCGATCGCGCACGCACAAACACACAACACACACACACACACACACACGCACCACAACGCACACACACACACACGCAAACACACAAACGAACAAACAACAAACACTATTAGAGAAAAAAGACGATTCGTTGTACCGTTCTCGAAAATAATCCTCGTCTGAATTCAGTTCCCCCCCCCTTTCCCGCGCGAAGCGCGGAAGCTTTTACGTTTCATAAAATCATTAGAGAAAGAAGACGATTCGTTGTACCGTTCTCGACTCTTAATCCTCATCTGAATTCAGACCCCCACCCCCTCCCGCGCGAAGCCCGTAAGCTTTTACGTTTCATTAAATCATTAGATAAAGAAGACGATTCGTTGTTCCGTTCTCGACTCTTAATCCTCGTCTGAATTCAGTTCCCCCCCCTCCCCTCCCGCGCGAAGCGCGGAAGCTTTTACGTTTCATTAAATCATTAGAGAAAGAAGACGATTCGTTGTACCATTCTCGACTTTTAATCCTCATCTGAATTCAGTTTTTCCCTTCCCCGCCCGCGCGAAGCGCGGAAGCTTTAACGTTTCATTAAATCATTAGAGAAAGAAGACGATTCGTTGTACCATTCTCGACTTTTAATCCTCATCTGAATTCAGTTTTTCCCTTCCCCCCCCCTCCCTCCCCTGCGAAGCGCGGAAGCTATTACGTTTTATTAAATCATTAGAGAAAGAAGACGATTCGTTGTACCGTTTTCGCATTTTAATCCTCATCTGAATTCAGTTTTTCCCTTCCCCGCCCGCGCGAAGCGCGGAAGCTTTTACGTTTCATTAAATCATTAGAGAAAGAAGACGTTTCGTTGTACCATTCTCGACTCTTAATTTCTTAAGGGGGTGTTTTTTTTTTATATCTCTCTTTGGACTCCTGAGCAGGCGCGTACACAGGGGGAGGGTTTAGGGGTTTAACCCCCCCCTTTGGTATTTTTTTTTTGTGTAAACCCCCCCCCCCTCCACTTTTGGATTTTTTTTAATTTTAAATTTTTGTTATTAAAAAAAAAAATATTCCCATGGCTGACCTCAAAGAGATGACCTTACCCCCCCCCCCCCCAACGGAGCAAAATGTCAAATTTTCAAATTTCGATACCAAAAAAAAAAAAAAGTGTCCTCTTACCCCCCCCCCCCCCCCCCGCCTATTCAGCGGTTGGCTGAGTCGTTGCGATTTTTTTGGGACCAAAAAAAAAAAAAAAAGTGACCTCTTAACCCCCCCCCCCCCCCCCCCCCCCCCCCCCCCCCCGCCTATTCAGCGGCTGGCTGAGTCGTTGCGAATATCATAGAAAAATTGATCAAATCCCGGGATCAAATTCCTGAAATTCCTGCTAGCTTTAAAAGCTCATTCAGGATTATTTTATTTTGAAAAGTAAAAGCATTAGCCCCCAGTCCCCCTCGATCGACTAGAGCTCACCTGAAATTGGGGGGGGGGGGGTGTGGTACATTTAGCAGTGTTCCGGATTTTTTTTTTTTTTTTATTAATTTTTTTTTTTTTTTTTTTGGGGGGGGGGGGGGGTCTCCAATGCAGCAAAAGCCAGCGAAAAGCCGGCGAAAGGGGGATTCAGAAATGTTGGCAGTCCTGAGATAGGGTGGGGGTGCTTTCAAAGGGAAGGAACGAGCATACGCGTACCCTAAATAACACGGAGCCGGGCATCTACTGTACATGATTGCACTTTTTAAGCGCTCGCGCGCTGGCGCACTTTACGTCTGGGCTATAATAATACCTTGCAAAATAACGAAAAATTATTCTGAAGTTTATGAAGTGCTTGTTCGCGCACGTCGCGAAACTACTCTTAATGATCGTGACATACTATATACGTGTAGGCTATACAGTTGTACATACATACAAATAAAAAAAACTAATTTCTCATGCATTATGCTGAAATTGAAACAATCACAATTTTTTTTTTCTTCTTCCTTTTTTCTCTCTTTGTTTTGTAATATCAGGGGGGGGGGGATGATTGTACAGGCCACCCCCTACTTCAAGCCAGGGGGGATGCAGCCCCCCCCCCCCACCCCCCCCCCCCCCCCGGGATTTACGCCCCTGCGCCTGGACAATCACCCACCTCCCTCCCCCTGGCAAATTACCAAAGGGACAATTACCCCACCCTGAAAATAGCGTGTTTGTAAAAACATAGTGGCATCCTGTTTATTGTTATATTATATTGGATATAGGTGCTGCATGTACATGTTAACTACAAGATTATAAGATTATGCTTCCGATGACCCTACATTTACAAAAGCTTGAAAATAAAATTGAAATTAACATTAACACACACCGTGAATGACCGGTATGTTTGGAGCCATTTACCAACCCACCGGTCCGTCATATCATGCAATGACAGGTTGACGGTCTAAATGAAAATAAGCCATTCGCAGATCAGATTCACATGTATGCAAAACAAAGAGATTGATTTATTGGCCATAAATAATTATGTATATTATCTGTACCGTTTTTTTAAGCAGGCTCACCTCTTCAGTTTATAAACTGCTATCCCTGAGCGCCCTGCACAATAAAAACAACGTATATACAATATCTTTGGACTTGACTCTAAGTACATATTAAACTCATAATTGCATAATAAACAAAGATCAGGAAAACATAGATTAATAACAAAAGAAAGACATAAAATAAATATAAATTTGTGAAGTGTTACTTATTTTCAGCATAGTATGATCAAAACATACAGTTGATAAATTATCTAATACTGTCCAAATACTAATTACAGCCGTTGAAAGCAAAATGAAGTAATATACTGGAGAATGTTAAATGGAGATAGATTGAGTGAGAGCAAATAAAGCTGGTAAAGATAGAGCGAGAGGGGAGGAGAGAGAAAGAGAGGAAGAGGGGGAGGGAGAACAATGGAGTACCAGGGTATTACAGGAAACATGAGTCAGCAAACATTGTTCCCCCTAGAAAAGTGTACATGTACGCTACAGAATACACGGGGAAAATGGGAGAGAGGTAGAAAAGAGAGAGGAGGGGAAGGAGGATGGAAGTGAGAAGGAGAGAGAGACAGACAGAGGCGGAGACAGACAGACAGAGAAAGAAAGAGAAAGACAGAGAGAGAGAGAGAGAGAGATCATATATTCCTGGACATGTATTGCTATAGTAATCTTTTACTTTGCAATGTCTCCAGGTAAGTATGTGGGAGCCGCCACTTAATTCCTCTTAAATTTTAATTCACATGGTGGTACTAATGGATTTCCGTACGTAACAAGGGAATCACTTAAATGCCGAGCACATATTTCTCCCATCTCTCAAATGTTTTAAAGCAACTGTTTGTATGGGTGTAGGACAAAGTACGCCCGAGAACAACCACTCTCCTGAAAATTATCCCCTGTGTTTAGTATGTATGTAAGGATAGAGATCTAACATAAGGATTCAAAGGGGTGAATGAATTATGAAAACATTGGAGAAATTATAAAAAGACGACCCGTTTCTTGAAGAGGGAGAGAGAGAGAGAGAGGGGGGGGGGGCAGTGACATTTTTCTTGACAGGTACAGCAATATCTTAAGAGAATATAAATAATAAAAATGTTTTTGTTTTTGCTTCTGAATTATAATGTCAACTTCATAAAGCACGGTGCCTTCCCTTCAATTCTTCCCATTTCCAATATTTGTTGTTTGTTATATGGCTAACATATCAAATTACTTTCTAATTCCAGGATAATGGTCAACTCCTCGTAGAGAAATGCCAGCTATCTACCGAGATGACTGCCAGATTATTGTCCTGTCTCAGATCCTTCACCTCACTGAACCATCTCAGCATCTCAGACTCCTCTCTCAGTTTCCCTCCATCTCCTCCTGAGCTTCCATTCGTCACAGAGCTATCAGCCGAGAGAGTGACGTCACAAAGCTATGAAGGTCTGCTCTCATCGCTTCCTGGCTTGAGAGAGATCGATATCACTATCGATGATGCAGAGAGAGACATACCTCAGATCACGGCTTGTCTTCGTCGGACCGGAGGACAGCAGCTCACACGCATCCACCTTACAGCACCGTACTCACTATCATCAGAGAAGAACAGAGTATCGAGAGAGACGATGAGAGGACTGGGTCTTCTGATCAGAGAACAAACCAAGAACCTACAGCGGCTAGAATTGTACTTGGTGAAGTGCACAGACGAGGAAGACTTGGTTTACCTCATCGAGTGCTGCAGACATGTGAAGACGATGTCAGATGTGGGGTAGGTTCTTGTTCAAATCTTGTATAAAATAGATTAAAATCCTACTAGTCTACACGATCCTGTTTAGTTAGTTTGCCGTGAAAAGCATAATGATACGAATGCGTGAAAGGATGCAAAGGTTAAAACGGGGGCTTAACATCCAAGGTAGGATGGGTTTTGGTTTATTATTGCTCTCAATTGTTATTTTAGAATGTTCAATGTACAGTCGCAATAAATAGAATTTGAATACCTGTATTGAAAATCAAAAATGTTGATATACAGTTGAATGTATTATTATGAAACGTCGGAGGGTAAGATATGGTAAGTCCATTTTGACCATAAACAAAATCATATCCTGATAAAATCAAATATCATTATCATTAATTTTCATTATTGTTATTATTATTATTAATATTATTGTTATTTTCCACTACTATTATCATTATTATCATGTATTATTATTGCGTTTACTACTATTAATATCATCATCATGTTATTATTGTCACTATCTTAAAAATTATAATCAGTAACAATATTTGTGGTTGCAAGTACGTGTTTTTATTTTTAGGCAGAATGGCGAATCAACGAATACCGGCAGCGAATTCAAAAGTCTTGCGCTCTAGCTGCAATAAACCGTTAAAGGCAAACTGTCCTTTTCAAAATTATTCTACATTGTTTTTCGGATGCATCGTCTAAAGATCATCAAGTTCCATGAGGTGGCAGGTATGCCCCCTCCCCCGGCCATCGTCAGCTTTTACTCTTCGACTCATAATTTGTGGATTTTCGAAGTTTAAGCAATGCCAAGTTGGTGGAAATGACTAATTTTCCCCTTTTCTCCCCCTGGAGGGTGTTTCATGAACAAAAATTAATGTCGATTTTAAAAAATAAATTTTTAAGGCAGAATCACTTTTGGCTTTGATAAAATTGATGCTGTGAGCTGTTTCATCGAATCAGATTTAGGCTAGAATTTATTTTGATAATTTTTAGGTTAAATGTAAAAGGGCTCTGTAATCAAGGCTAGTCGATTCCGGGTCAATCAACTACAAGTAACATTGCGTCGCTAAACTACTGCAAGAGAGGTCCTCGAAAAGTAAGTAAATTATGTTCTGTTGATACAAAAATTATTATTTTGGTAGAAGGAAAGTATTACTCTCATTTGCAACCGAACGATATTTGAAATAAATATCAACTAAGAGCATTCCCCAACTGAGCTAAACTTAAGTTAATTCTTCGAATTGCACCGGTTCATGCATTTCCGTCCCCTTCATATATAGCCTACATTCATGTATATTTAACTGTAGCCTACTTGTCTAACGATGTTGAATATTTGGTTAGGACATGTAAGAAATAGACCTATAGTTTATTTTTGCATTTGATAACAAAATAAGTCTACCACGGCTTTAGGAATCATCGTGTTGTATGGTTTCGTCGATAAGTCAAGTGCCTAAAATTTAGGCTTAGATTCCAAATCTAGGCCTAGATCCAGGCTAGACAGTAGACTACTTTGTTTTGTTGCCGGTAGGCAGTGCGGTAGCCATTGTTTTGTGTTAATAATAACAATATACGAGATCATTGCTTTAACTTCAACATTTTATGCAAGAAAATACGACTCTATAGAGTCTATATACCGTGTCAGACCGAAGACCAAGTTAGATCTTGATTAAGATCTTGATGTAGATTGAGTCTACATGATACTAGATCTAGGATAGATGTAGACCTAGTCTAGTCTTCACACTGCACCCTTTGGGCAGAACAAACCTAGATAAGTTAGAAGTTATAGTTAGTCCCTTAGTCCTAGATCTTGACTAGAGGTATACTTGAATTTTTGTGACATCTAAATTAACAGGAGTTAGATCTAGTCTACGTCTAACAGTAAAAAGTTAGATTTTAGACTAGATGTAGAATGTTATGTAGGTCTATTAGGCTCATGTATCAAGCTCTCCTATTTTGTTTTTCTTTCAGAGTCAGAGATGGAGTGGACCTGGACATTTTGAATAATATACAAGAAATAGACCCCTAGTCTAAGACTTCTCTCTCACCGTGTCTTCAACGTCTTGGACTAACTTCTCATCCTACCTCGGTCCCGAGGAAAGGGTTTGGATCTGCATAATGTAATCCAGTTCAAGGTACTGCAGATTCTACCGTGCTAATTGGTCTTTTGATGTGATTTTCTTAGCAAAGTTTGAACACCAACATTAAAACGGTGAGGTTGGTTTTCTTCTAGACCTAGATCTACATAGATATGAATTACTAACTTGTTGTTGAGTTTATAGTCTTGATATTCTTTAATGATGAAGGGTTAAGATACCGGATATTGGATTTTACAATAACAAACTGAAAATTATGTGTTCTTAATTTAAGAGGAAGCCAATCATGACAGGTAAAAAACATAGATAATTTACTAGATCAGCCAGATTTGATCAATATTGTACATAGCATGGGGCAGCAATTAAAGTATAAAGATGTGATTGAACAAACTCTAATAAGCATATGCATAATGTAAGCTTTAACCTGTTTGTTATATACCAGTTAAGGTATCTCTTTCCCTTCTATTGACCAGAGGGAAATTTTTTATCAAATCTCTGTACAATAGGGTTTGGTTCAAGATCAGATTATCCAAGATAAGATGAGACTGCTGTAGAGTCAGATTACAAATGAAAGCTAAAAGTTTAAGATCCACACATTCAAAATCAATATTTTAAAGAAATGTTTGGGATCAAAATCAAAATCAAGATGAGTCCAAAATGTGTATTATAAAAAGAGGTTCCACGTTCCATAGTCCAATTGATACAGTTATCACATTTTCTAAAAACTTTCAATGTGATAAGTGACATAGTGGTTTGACCCAAACACATTTAAATTGCAGTTAGAATCACTGATGTCAATGTACTTTTGTCCAGTTGAACACATTAGATTAGGTAAAGTGACAACTATTTTTCTGAGAAATATATTTGCTCTCTTTATGGTATATGTATATCTCTGTTTGATACTTACCAACAAATGATTATGAAAAGATAATTTTTTTCCAAAGCCTAAAAATCAATTATATATTATTTTTTCTAACTAAAACTGCTTTGGTATCGATATTTTTTGAGAATATTTGTTATCCTTCTACCTTATTTATTTTACAATCAAAGAAATTGACATGACCAGAAATACAACAATTGAAAAATTACACTAGTATTAATTAGTTGTTATAACTTTCAATTCCAAATTCTAGACTGCAGAGCCTGAATCCCCTGCAACATTACGCTTCACATGGAACATCAGCCAGCGTACAGATACAAGCTCCCTTGTCCAGCTCTAAGCAAGAGGGACCACAATGCTAAGCAGATCGTGGACTGCTCGCTTTCTCATTTAACAATGTCTTGCAGTGAAACAGATTTTCAAATGAAATGATCTGAAAATACTAAAAGAGCTCCAGTCTGTGTACTAAAATTTGCCATTAAGTATGAGATGATTGGTTTGATAAGATTTCACCAATTAATGTCTTAAAGGAAGTAAAACAAATGATGATACTTCCAAGAATTCTATTAGTTTAAATAGAATTTTAGAATCTTGCAGAAGAAAAAAGAAAATGACTAATTACAGATGAAAGATGAAACTAAAGTAATAATCCATATTAAGTTTAATAGCTCTGCAATTTAAGCCTGCACATTCGAGAAATATCTTGCTAAGTGTTGTTGCTGATCTAAAAATCGATGATTCTGTCATGGAGGTTATTGTTTCTAAACTTACATTTATAGATAAGTCCGTTCATGGTGATGAATGTTAAAATATCAAATTGGAAATTTTAAAGTAGTAATTCATCTGAGCACCAGTGGACCAATTTGAGGGCCTTTTTGGAACTCTTAGTAGAGTTTCTGTTGGTATGAATTTGTGTCGACAATTACCTGTTGATACCTGAATTGGATATTCTTAGCAATTGCAAAAGAACAAATACAAAAGAAAATATGTCCGGCAAGAAATTATATATCAACTTGGATTCATGTTGTCCTTAAAAAATTCTCAAAGCTGATAGAAAAAAAAAATCATGATTATGGTTGGCTAAGTGGCGATACACACATATAAAAACAATCAATCGAAGAGTGAGTTGTAATATGATAGTGTGGATTTTAATTACACAATACAACGAGATGCAACATAAATTCACAAATATTGAGCGTTGACAAATCAAAAATATATCAGCTTATAACTTCCTAAGAGGGTCAATTAAATTAAGGCTGCCATTATACTAAACCGGTGTTCGTTCAAAGGATAACGCGTTACGAACGTTGGAGTTCGTGACAAAGTCCACCGCGTCAGACGATTGTGTGCGCGAAAATGTCCACCGCGTTAGATGACCGTGGAATCATGTAGGACGAGAACTGGGTCGAATGGGTCGATGGCTCGTGATGAGTTCACCATATCGCAGGTAGCTAGAAAACAGTCTAAATCGGTCTCTTGTACTTCGTAGAGTCAATCAATGGAATGTGGTTGAACACCACCCTAAACGGCTGTAATACAATCAATAAACAATAATAAACATTGTATCCCATCATATTAGTTTGATACAAAAATACATCAACAAATGTTCTTAACATGTAAGGACTTTCTCACAATATAAACATACAATGTTGACTTAAACATCATTAATATTTAATACACAAAATCAGTTAGCTTTAACATATCTAAAGACAGAAACTTCCTTTCCAGTATCTCATACCAGCCTTTGTAAACAATGCTAATAACATTTCAAATTATTTCTGACTTTAGAAATATGTTTATAACAGAAACAGTTAATGCATTCTGTTTGCATCAGAATTCAAGATGGCTACCTGCCATTTAATATGCAAAATGGCTGACTTTCAAAATGGCTGACTTTCCGTGTCTGCCGAAAAAAAGGCACTTACAAAAACAATAAATATTTCAAACATGTATTGTGTCGTTTCACATGACACAAATCCCAATTAAATTACTTAAAGACAAATATTCATATGCAACATCTAGAAACATTTCTCCAGGCATCCGTTTACACTATA